CATTAAAAATCTTACTGTTCAAAAACTTTTGACAGGTAGTGTAGGCTGATTATTCTTATAGATTGAAACAAATATGCTTTAGCCAGGATAAAGAGTATGAAAAGTGCTCTGAGTTGCTGCAGAAAAAAAAAGAAAAAAGAAAAAGAGCAACAACAAAAACATGTTGCCGGAAGAGGGGCTTATTTAAAATGCAATTTGATTGTCTGCCAGCAGGAGGCGCTTTGAGAGCGGTAGATCTAGCGGTTTCTCCAGTAACGGCTGTAATAAAATCAGCTCCATTCATGAACGCGTCTTAATCAGATAAAATGAAAATACCATCGAAACTTTTCTGAAGACAGTCCTTTCCTTTCAGACATACATTCATATAAAACTCCCGCAACATGTTTTGATTTTGAAACGTGCCCGCTGCTACGTTGTTCATTCAAAACATTGTGGAAAAAGAGAACATCAATGCGGAGAAGATGTTGTTTATGGCGAAACCGAAACAAAGCCGTTCACACAGAATGCATATTTATCGCATTTTCTATAGAGACATCCATCACCGTTGCACTCGCGTCTCCCACAAGAGAGCCGCACGTTTAGAAAGCCAATATTATGCACTTTTTTCAAAGGTAGTAGTGTTATTTTATTGCTTTGAAGAAACGTGAATTAGTAATATTTTGCTCGATGCGCCCTCTTGTGGCCTTAAGAGAGAAGCCAAAAGCTTTTTTACCCCTAACTGAAATTATGCCTTTTAAATTTGAATTTAATTCGAATATTGATAATATTTAAGTACAAAATTTGAATTTAGTTTCTCAGCCAGTTTGACAGCCCTACATAGCAGACGCTTGGAGTAGAGCAGACCGTGCACTCGCACAAATGTGGCCACGTCAAATTTTAACGTTTAACATTTTCTTTCTCAAAAATGGTCGCAGTCTAGAGCCCTGTAACATGATGAAAATGGCTTTCCTGCTTCTGTACTTTTTTTGTTGGTGTACAGTTGTGTCACGTTCTTTGTTCTCGTTTCTGTAGCTTGCGGTTGAGGGAGATGATGAGACGCTCCCTCCGCGCTGCAGGTTTGGGCCGCCACGAATCTGGCCCTTCCTCCAGCGACCACCAAGACCCTGTTTCACCCCCTATTGCACCTCCCAGCTGGGTACCAGACCCTCCACCAATGGATCCTGGTGAGTTCAGCGGTTTTTGAGTCATAACTAGGGATGGGTACTTAGAACCGTTACGTAATTGGGTCAATACCGGACTGCCGATAAGCTTCAGGACAAACGATACTGTTATCAATACTTGCGTATTTATCTCCGTATATTTCAATGTTAATGGCGAATTAGAAGCTGCTGCTTGTCATTTTCCTTCACTGAATGATGTGGCCGACGTTTGCTCGATGTGCATGTGTCATATCCATGCGCATGTGCGGTGTGTGTTTGCGTGCAATCAGTCATGGCGGCAAGAGTGAAACATTCGAAAGTGTGGGCTAATGTTACAAAACTAAGCGACACCAGTATCAGATGCAATATATGCAGTATGTTGACACAATTTTCATTTTTGGGTGAACTATTCATTTAATGTTAATAAAATAAAACACAGAGAAAAATAACTCGCTGCTCTTGACTGAAGAACTTTAATACAGTTGCTAAAATTCAGCAGTATTAAAATAACTTTTCACATCATATCTTTTTGCACCAAATAGTATCTAACAGTATTGATAAGTATCGGTACTGGTATCAGTATTGATAAAATGTAAACGATACCCATCCCTAGTCATAACAGATGTATTGCATGCATGTGATAGCCTGATGTCTCACAAAACCATCTTCTCCGCTAGACGGTGACATTGATTTCATCCTGGCCCCTGCAGTGGGCTCCCTTACCACGGCTTCCACAGGCACTAACCAGGGACCCAGCACTTCCACCATCCCAGGTATGTGAACCGGCCTCCCAAAGGACAATCTGCGCCAGTGGTTCTCAACTGGTTTTACTCCAGGACCCAGATTTTGCTTTGGACATCCATGGTGACCCAATAAGAACAGTGTTACTTTAGTATAATTAATTAGTATTATAATAATATAGTTTTTGTTAATATTTTGTATTAGATTTTGTTTTAATAATTTATGATTTTACTTAAATTTTAGTTAAAGTTGTAGTAATTAATTTTTGTCTTTTATTATTTTTAATTAAAAATATATTTTTTAGTGATTTTAATAATTTCAATTTAAATCAAATGGAAATGTTGCCTTGGCAAAACTATATAAAATAAGTTTATTTTTATTTTTTTATATACATTTATATATTTTTATATTTTGTTTCATTTAGTGTTTAATATATTTCAAGTAACAAAAAATTTTTTTTTAAGTTGTGGTTTCAGTTAATGAAAATAACCCTGAATTAGAATATACATGCAACCTGTTTTTCAGTCACAATCCCTCCAGTTGAGATCCACTGCTCTGTGCTGTCATTTATAAAACTTTCTTGTAGCATGTTTTCAATATTTCCCATGTCTTCTCAAGGACCTTCTTCTGAACCATCAGTAGTGGAATCTAAAGACCGGAAGGCCAACGCACACCTGATTCTGAAGCTAATGTGTGACAGCGTCGTCCTGCGACCTCACTTAAGAGAGCTGCTCTCTGCCAAGTACGGCACACTCCTGCTGCTCTAAGATAGCCAGCCTCTCTTTAGCAGACCTTGAGTGTTTGTTTTGCTGTTGTTTGATAGGGATGCTCGTGGGATGACTCCATTCATGTTGGCGGTGAGCGGGAGAGCTTACCCAGCAGCCATTACTGTTTTAGAAGCAGCACAGAAAATAGCCAAAGGTGAGTATATGGCTGCAGTTTAACTCCTGTGTTATTTTAGAATTAATAATATACATTATAGTTTTTTATTAGATTTTATATATATATTATTATTATTATTATTATTTTTTTTTTTAAAGTTTAAGTAATTTAGTTGTTAGTTTTTTTTAAATGTCTATAGTTTTTATTTAAATTTTTGTTATTTTAGTATTTCAAGTTAAACTAAACGAAAATGAGATTAAGTCATTTTAAGGTTTTTTTTCAATATTTATTTCAGTTTTTTATTTTAATTTTGGGGTTTTGTCTTTTAGTTTATTTATTTTTTTAAATGTCTACAGAGTTTGTATTTATTTATTTTAGGACTTCAAGTGAAACTAAATGAAAACGAAAAATTACACAATTTTACTTTTTTTTTTTTTCTTCTTTTTTTCTTTTCAATATTTTATTTAATTTCAGTTAACATTATTTTATTTCAAGTAACAAATATTTTTAATGGGTTTAGTTAACTATAATAACCTTGGTTTAACTTGCTGAGATGCATTTGCCATGTTTCGAAATGTTTAGAGACCATTAGATGCCGTTTGGGGGCAGTCGTGGCCTATTGGTTAGAGAGTCTGACTTGTAACCTAAAGGTTGCAGGTTCGAGTCTCAGGTCTGGCAGGGATTGTAGGTGGGGGGAGTGAATTACCAGCGCTCTCTCCACCCTCAATACCACGACTGAGGTGAGACCCAACTGCTCCCCAGGCGCCGCAGTATCGGCTGCCCACTGCTCCGGGTGTGTGTGCGTGTTTGTTCACTACTGTGTGTGCGCACTTGGATGGGTTAAATGCAGAGCACAAATTCCAAGTATGAGACACCATACTTGGCCACACGTCCTTCCTTCCTTTCCTTTTTGTTTATAAATCTGATCTGGATCTCATATATGGTTTAGGTGAACTGGGTCTTGGAGAGAAAGAGGATGCAGCATCTGTGTTCATGGAGATGATCTGTCCTTCAGGCACAAACCCAGATGACTCTCCCCTCTACGTCCTGTGCTGTAACGATACCTGCAGCTTCACCTGGACCGGAGCTGAACACATCAACCAGGTACAAACTCCAGTGAAATTTATTTGTCTGATTTTCAAAGTGTATAATATTATTCATACAGAAAAATGAAAGCTTGCTTTTTTTGCATTAAATAGTTTTAAAGATATTTATTCTTTACATAAAAAAACTGTTGAGAAGCACTGAGCTAAATGGTTTTATAGAATGGCACTGGGAGACTAATGGCGCTTTTCCACTGCATGGTACGGCTCGGTACGAAAATATGAATAAATACTTATAGTAGAATAAATAATACAAAAATAACACTGATTTGCTACAAGCTTTGCATAAAAAAATCAAGATGACATGATGCAAGCTAAATGTTGATTTATTACTGAAAACTGTACTTTTCAAAAACACTGAAATGTAGAGAAACCATTACTGCTCAACTGTAGACTGCATGTATTTTAGTAAGTGCTGTCAATCGATAAAAAAAAATTAACTAATTAACCGCACATTTTTTCTGAAATTAATCACGATTAATCCTACCTAACATTAAAGTTTTTAAAAATACTTTTACATTGCAATAATTTCACATTCAATCTTTAAATTAATGTAGAAACAACATAAAGACAGTATATTTTTAATATTTGTATAATGGCATCTTTTTTTTTATTACTGAAGGCCAGTATCACTCTGATGTCTTTATGAAATAGTTTTTTCCCCTAATATTTAACCATTGATTAGCCATTCAACATAACAAAGCTGTCAGTTTTAACATTTATTACACTACTTAAAATAACTTTTAATTTAAGTGAACTTAAATATTTACCTGTGCCCTTAGGAAATATACAGAAATTGAATACATTTATCAAACACTAGATTCTAAATTAAATATAGGTGAATCCTTAAAGCTACAAAAGTTATTAATTTCCTCTTTTTTTCTTTTGATCTTTGATTAATAGACATCACAGCAGTTGGTCATTAGGTTTTTTGGCTGCTATTTCTTTAAGAGGGAGATGGTGCTGGGCTGCTCCAGGACAGTTTGGAAAACCACTGCATTTCAGAGATATGTTCTTAAATGTGACTCATATTACAAATACATACATGCACAGTTTTAAGGTAGCTTTAATCGCCTTTTTGCTAACTTCATGACTTAACTGACCACATAACTACGACATTGCATGCTCGTAATTTCTTTCGTGACTTGTATATAAAATGATACAGGCTACAGCGCGCGCTGTACTTACTGAAGTCTAACAAGTTGCTGCCAATTTAAAGTTTTCCAAAACTATTACTTATGTGGTTACGTTTCGGCTATAATAATCCCTAGAAAGCAGCAAGGTAGATCACTAGGTTGTAAAACCGTAATCTCTCGTTTCATCTCCAGACTGAAGCGAACGTCTCCCACTGCATACTGTGACTGCTGGGAGAAGTGTAAATGCAAGACCCTCATCGCGGGCCAGAAAGCAGCTCGTTTAGATCTGCTCTACAGGCTGCTGACCACCACTAATCTAGTTACCACTCCTAACAGCAGGTATGTTCAAGGAATGAGTACTTTAAGTCCTGCTCCAACTTTCTGTTGTCAAACCATATTTTTGGGTCATCAGGGCAACATCCAGTCAGTGTTCTGTGTCACTGTTTGTGTCTGGCAGGGGAGAGCACATCTTACTATTCCTGGTGCAGACTGTTGCAAGGCAGAGCGTGGAGCATTGCCAGTATCGACCACCTCGCATTATGAATAATCATTGTTTACATTATCAATCATTGGTCTCACTTCAGAGTAATTGTGCACATTCTTGATAGTAAAATGTATATGTAGTGTTATTTTGTAAGGCTTAATTACAACAATTAATCAGAAACAATAAATACAATGAAAAATACATTGATTTTTATTTTATTTGATATTTTACCTTTGTGATTTTAAGTCAAGTTGGATGTTATCCTAAATTTAGGAGGTTATTTATGATCATTTTTAAGAAGTTTCTTAGAAAATCGCAAGAAAAAAAGATCTTTACTTTTTGGGGTATACAAAATATTCTTAATTTTTTCTCTGAAGTAGAAAAATAGCAGTTTTTATTCTTAAGAATGTTTTATAAATCTGGCGCCTGGATTCCTAGGGGCAACATGAAACTGTGTTTGCAATGCTTTAAACTTTTGCTGCAAAGAAATGGAGATATGGAGGACTGGGAAATACCAAGAGAATACTTATTATTACATTGTAGGGGAAGATAAAGCTGGGTATTGTCAGCGTATAGATGAAAAGAGACACCATATTTTTAAAAAAATAGAAGCCAAGGGGAGCAAATACATGGAAAACAACACAGGGCCAAGGATTGAACCTTGCGGAACACCACAACCATGAGGAATGTCAGAAGAACAGTAATGCCCTAATCAAACAGTAAAACACCTATTTGACAAATAAGAGCGAAACCACTGTAAAACCATACCACAAAGTCCTACACAAGACTCCAGGCGTCACAGAAGAATGTTGTGGTCAACTAAATCAAATGCAGCACTTAGGTCTAAGAGCCATGGGTTTCCCTGAATCTGTCGTGAGAAATGTCATTTAAGATTATTAACAGGGCCGATTCAATGCTATGTAAAGCTTTAAAACCTGATTGAAAGACTTAATTAATAGTTATCCGTCAAGAAGGACTGTAGTTGAGCCAGTACAACTCAACATGTTCATGGTTTTATTGTGCATGATTGATTAGTGAATGTATGGAGAACATTGTTTTTTGTTTTGTGTTCTTTAATGTGTGTCTGTCTTTCTCTCAGACTCAGATATGCCGGATCATGACCTGGAGCCTCCACGCTTCGCCCAGCTGGCTCTAGAGCGTGTGTTGCAGGACTGGAACGCACTGAAATCCATGATAATGTTCGGCTCTCAGGAAAACAAAGACCCGTGAGTAGAACATTGAACATTGGCAAATTTCATTGTACATATTCAGCTTTCAAGACGTTTTTGTGGACATAACGTGTCGTATTGTTTCAGACTAAGTGCCAGCAGCAGAATCGCTCACCTTTTGCCAGAAGAGCAGATGTACCTGAACCAGCAGAGCGGCACCATCAGGCTGGACTGTTTCACACATGGCCTTATCGTCAAGTGTGCACCAGACATCACTGTGAGTCAAAGAAACTGCAGTTGTGCTTTTACATCCATGAATATTTCATTATTTTCAGGGTTCCCACTCTAAGCCAAATGTCAAATTCCCTGACTATTCCCTGACTTTTCCCTGACTTTCACTGACTAAAAAGCTGAATTTCAATTACCTATAATGAACTGAAAAACAGGCTGCTGTTGTGCTTAGCACTGAGCAGACAAAAACCAGCCACAGACAGTATTTTAAATCTATCCATTTGCAAGCTTTGTTTTACTTGTTCACAGACGTTTTTAGTATAAAACTAAGTTAAACACGCATACGCACTACTTTTTTTTTTTGCTTTTACCCATTAAATGCACTTGTTAAACGCTCTGAAGGATTTTCTGTTTGTCATCAAGTTCACCATTCAGTCGTTTAGTTTTTGCTTTTCTGTCATCTACTTTTAACACCCAGTTTTGAAGTGGTCATTTTGTAGCCAAAGCTCTTGAAAGTTACATTTTCCTGGCATGTTTGCCTTAGTTAACAGGTACAGCCTGGTGACTGCATTTGACTTAAGAGATTGCCAGTTGACAAGCAGGAAGGGAATAAAATGGCGCTGAAAAATAGCGGCCTAACCATAACAATAGGCAAAACGCGTGAAACAATGCAATAAAAAATTACAAAATTACATTTTGATAAATGGAAACTAAAATTTAAAGCGACAAACAAAAATCCCTCCCTGATATTCCATGACTTGGACAAAAAAATATCAAACTCCCTGACTTTCAATGTCTGGAATAGACCTTTTAAAATTCCATGATATTCCAGAAATTCCGTGACCCGTGGGAACCTTGATTTTGCATGTTACTTTTCCAGCTAATCTTGATTAGTTTATTATGAATTTTTTTTAAATCTGTTTATATCTACATGATTTTTTCAGTGTAATAGCAGCAGTTTTGCTAACTGTCTGCTCTTGCTCTTGTTGTTCTCCAGTTTATTGACACGCTGTTGGGGACCCTGGTGAAGGAGCTGCAGAATAAATACACTCCCGGTCGCAGGGAGGAGGCCGTCATCGTCACACGCAGGTTCCTGCGCTCTGTGGCCCGAGTATTTGTCATCCTCAGTGTGGAGATGGCGTCTTCCAAGAAGAAAAAGTATGTGCAGTCATGCTTATGACAATAGAAAAGGGTTTCGTAAGCATTTTGTAAAATTTAGTTGAAAAGCAAAATGTGAATACTTTATGGGTTATTCTGTGTCAACTCAACCAGAGGTCCCCGGCTCTAATTTTTTTTGATTTTGCTAATATTTTTTCTGACGAAAGACAGACATGTATAGTAATGAAAGCCAAAATATTAGATGTCATGGATGAATATTGACCGAGTAATCCACTATTTTGAAGTAGGGGGTCAAAATGGCAGAAAGATGGCAGCATCATAATGTTGATTTTACACCGAGATTGGTAGGTCTGTTAGTAAAATCTGTTCACTTTAGCAATCTTTGTTGCATTATGTGCCAATGGTGACCATTCAAAAATGAGGAAACGGCACTTTTCAAGTTTTTTTCTTGGAGCCATATTGAAATTCCAATATCTCTGCAACCGAACTATATAGGGCCTTAAAAATGAAGATGCCAAAAGGAAAGTTTGTTAAGACCCAAAATCTAAAAGGGCATTAAAATATCTTTAAAGGGGTCATATGATGCTGCTAAAAAGAACATTATTTTGTGTATTTGGTGTAATGAAATGTGTTTATGCGGTTTAAAGTGGAAAAAATGAAATCGCATCATATGACCCCTTTAATACTTGAGTTACAGGCATGCAAACTTTGGAGAAAAAAAACTTAAAGTGCTGTTTCCCCATTTTTGAATGGTCACCATTTGCACATAATACAACACAGATTGCTAAAGTCAACAGATTTTACTAACCAATCTCTCTGTAAAAATAACGTTATGATGCTGCCATCTTTCTGAAGTCATTTTTACCCCTCTGTAATTTGGCTCTGAATCTCAGGTGAAAATTGCTATTTTGACCTCCCTTTACAAAATAGTGGATTACTCATCCATGACATTTAATATTTTGACTTTCATCACTATACATGTCTGTCTGTCTTCAGAAAAAAATCAAAAATTTGAGCCGGGGAAGTTTTTGAAATTTGGTTGATTTGACACTGAATGACCCTTATGCAAAACACATTGTCTAATGATCTTATCATTAAATGCTAATATAGTAGTCTTTCATGTTTAATGTTGATTTTAACCCTATAAAGGCTATGATATGCAAGTGTCTAAGGCTTCTAAATGATCAACATCTCTAAATGATCAAAACTGCTGAAAATCCTGTTTTTCACATTAAGGTTGTAACGGTATTAGATTTTCATGGTATGATAATATTCTCAAAAAACGTCACTGTATACATTATCATACTATGTGATTTGATATCGATTCATTTGTAAATATTTCAGGTATTAAAGGGGTCATATGATGCGATTTCAATTTTTCCTTTCTCTTTGGAGTGTTACAAGCTCTTGGTGCATAAAGAAGATCTGTAAAGTTGCAAACACTAAAGTCTCAAAACCAAAGAGATATTCTTTATAAAAGTTAAGAGTTAACCACGCCTACCTAAAATGGCGGAAAATAATGTGTTTTTTGAACTTTAAACCACATAAAAGCATTTCATTACACCAAATACACAAAATAATGTTCTTTTTAGCAGCATCATATGACCCCTTTAAGGAAAAAAAGTCTCCTGGTGGGAATCAAAATCAACTAATGCTGTAAACTATACAGGGACCCCTCTCATTTGGTGCATTAATATAACATTACAATTGCTATTATATAACTATTATATAACTACTATAATAAAATATTATATTCATTTTATACTTACTATATTGAACTTGTATAGTTAAAAAAAATATATTTGTCTAAAGGTTTAGTAAACTGTTCCATTTAAAAATATATATTTTTTCATATGTCAGACTTTACAGAGATAAGAATATATATTGACTTTTCTTCTTAATGGAAGAATAATAATCACATTGCTCATGCTCACATTCTCTCTCTTTTGCTTTTCCTTCAGTAACTTCATCCCGCAGCCCATCGGGAAGTGCAGGCGTGTTTTCCAGGCTCTGTTGCCGTACGCGGTGGAAGAGCTCTGCAATGTGGCCGAGTCCCTGATCGTGCCGGTGCGGATCGGCATCGCTCGCCCTACAGCGCCCTTCACTCTGGCCAGTACCAGCATCGATGCTGTACAGGGCAGCGAGGAGCTCTTCTCTGTGGAGCCCCTGCCGCCACGACCCTCCCCGGATCAGTCCAGCAGGTGAGTGACGCTTCAGTCGACCAAAAATGTAGCTACATGTAGCTTCCTGCATCTCAGTGGTTTTCAACGTTTTTGACTCCAAGCCTCCCATGTAGACTTTTAGGTTTCCTCTGGTACATCTGCTACAATCACAAAGTTTAATTTCAAAGCTTTTTCTAATTTACAGAAATTGAGTGTAAATACAGGGCTCCAGACTGCGACCATTTTTTCTGCCTGTGCGACTAAATTTTGTGCGGTCGCACTGGCACGACCACCGCAATTTTCGATTTATAAGCGCTGCCATTTCTGTTGCATATGAGAAACATCAAACGGCAAACGAAACCACGCTATTAGTTTGAACTGCGCAGGCTTCGAGTGTAGTGCCTGGTTTATACTCGCCGCGTCAGCAGGAGAGCGAAGTTGCGTGCAGCAAAAATTACGCGAATATTGAGGAAACGATGGATGGTTTTCAAGTGAAAGTAAAGTAAAAGACTGCTTCTTAAACCAGAGAGGGTGAACATGTTGGTATTCTTGTGGGGGGAAAAAAACATGCAAGCACGGTCACCGACAGCAAGTTTAGTTTTACTTTTCTTTTTGTTTTCATTTTGAAAAGCTTGTTATCTTTGCTGTTTACCTCACGTTACGCTATGGAGGCTCTTTTATTTTTATTTTTATTTGATTCCTCTGTGTTTGCTAAACGTTCTGTACTTTATTAGTCGGTATATAATACAGCATGTGGTGTATGCCATGCCTCGTCTTATTCGTTTTTGTTAATAAACGTTTTGTAAGCTAGTTTGTCATTGTATCTTACCGTTTTATTGTTGTTGTGCTTTTTAATTAAGAATAACAATGAATCCATCTTTTGTTTTAGTCTTAAAAAGTGAAAGGTGTGTAGAAATAAGAAAGAAAAACAGACAATTATCTTTTCTTGTAAAACATGACAAGATCGCGAAATCGAAAGTGAAAGCATCTGAAGCCCGGCTTATAACATGGCAAAAGAGGAACTCCCATTCACAAAATTCAAATCACAATTAATACTACTGATGAAAAAGAACGGGCTGAATGTTAACCACTTTCATTTCCATATAACTATAAACTATGATAAAAGTTCATCAGCATGCATTGATTAATCCCATGTTGTAGCACACAAAAAAAAAAAGATTGCGACCAAATCATGTGCTTGTGCGACCAACTGAGAAAGTTAGTCGCAAAAGAGCGACCAGTGGGAAGAATGAGTCTGGAGCCCTGCAATATTAAAATTTGGAACTAAATTATAATCATTACACTTCAGAATTGCAGAATCTTCTTCAGGGTTTCTTCTCTTTTTAGCCAGTGAATTTACATGATGTTTTCAGTCATTTGTGCTTTACTGGATAAAAATTAAAGATCAAGATTTTAAAAAATAAATAAATACTTCACTCTATTTTACCCAATTAAAATATTTTAGGGCTCAGCGTAACTAAAAAAAAGTTTTTTCTCAACTCCTAAAGCGTTTTTTAATCTCTAAATTAGGGATGGGCATTCCAAGCAAAAATAATATTCGAAAATTGCTGGGTATTATTCGATTATTATTCAAAAATCGCACCCCTCCCCCACAAGCACGCACAAACACCCATAAACAGAGATAGATGGAGAGAGACGGGATTCATGCTTTCAATCTGTATGATAAACTGTTTAATTCAGAAGTTAGGCTACCTTAACTCAAGCCATATAATGATTGTAACGTGCTGAAACATATTAATACAATAAACATAACTGAATGACGGCACTTATTAACAACTGTCCGTCGATTAGCATAAATCAACTGCTCATAAGGCTAGGACATTTCCATTTAAAAAAATTGAATCCCTGAAGGGAATAGATACGAGATGGGAGGAAAAATATACTTCAATATCTTCTGTCGCAATTATATCTTTGGGTAATTACACTGTATGTAAACTGTAGGCATCAGGGAGCCGTTATTAATATGCGGTGCATTGAAATCGCTTATGAACGCGCGCTTGTTTTTTACTTTCACTTTCGAGATTCGCGATCACATACGGAGCAGCACTCGGCAGTACTTACCACACATTTTACAAGATTAGATGTTTGTCAGTTGTGCTCAGGATCTGCAAATCATTCGCCATCATCCTATCAGTCATCTCTCCTTACTCTGTTTATGTGGTAAGTGAAATGTTATGTACTGTAATGTAACAGGCTACCATTAGCAAGCGGCTAATCATGTCCCTTTAGTGGCTCCGTAGAATGCGTTATTTGTTTTCCGCGCCTTTCTGAATACGGATTCAGCCACACCTCTAACCCAGTCGGGGGTGTTTGTGGTCCGCACAGAGCTTATTTGACATCGTCCCAAGTTACTGTAACAATTATATGCTATGCAAGTCTTTTTTTATGCCACGCAAGTCTACAGTGTGCGCGTGAGGCAATGTTTTCTTCTGTTGTCTTTGACAGCTTTTAGGTGCGTTGTTGGCAGCGCCACCCTCTGCTTACATGAACACGTGTTCACCACTGCATCAGCACGGAAAACATGGGGACATTTTTTAAGACAATAATCGCACAACCTATTCGATATTCTATAATTAAATCAGCTAATCGAATATTCGAAAATCGTGACCCATTCCTACTCTAAATCATCATTATATTGCATTATATTATATTTTGCCCCCCACAATTAAAACTACAGAGCTTTTTCTATCCAATAAAATATTTTATAGCTTGGCATAACTAGAAAAATGTATATTAAAAAAAATTATTAATTTATGTACATGAGTTTTCAGGTCTAGAAATCACATTTTTTGGCTTTTTTGGCTAAAAGTAGGTTTTATATATCCTGTTTTTTCCAAGACAATGGTAATTCCGGCTTGAGGGTGTGAATTAAAATAATAAATATTTTTTTATAATTTAAGCTATTTTAAAGCTTATTTAAAAAACATTTTAAGTCATTATAACACCACCTTGGAAGTTTGCTGAGGCCACTGGATTGAGAACCACTATTGTAGACTAAGAATTAGAAAAATTTACTGTCAAATAAAAATAAAGAAAATAAGAATAATCTATCTAACTACAAGCAACAGCACAAATAAATACAATAGAGTAAAGATACAAATAAAATAAACAGTGATTTTCAGGTTTTTTAGTTAGGTCTAACATTAGTTTTTAGGTACAGAAATTGAATGAAGTAATGTAAATGTAAAATAACATTGCATATTTTACTGTATAAATTAAAGTTACAAAAGCTCTTCAATCTAAGAGCAGTGAGTGATTTCCTTGTTGTTGCTGTATGATTAATATTAATAAATATTAATAATATTAATTAATAAATAATATATACTGATCCAGTGCACTGAAACTGTACGTTGAGCCGGCTATGTCTGCTATAGGATATTTACCAAGACGTGCATTTTGACAATCTTTGTGTGAATTTGTCCATTCAAACACAATACTTCACAGAGAGCTTAATATTGTCACGTGTTCTGAGGTGTGGGTTTGTGCGCTTCGGATGAGCGCACGCACAAATCTTTTTACTGTGCGCACGAGCTCGCGTCTTCGGTCTCTTAAATGTTTAAACTGGCAAAGCTTAAATGAGTTTACTTTAAACACCGATATCAACGTGTGCTGTTAAGGTCTCACCTGTGCATGTTGCGCTATCAGCACGATGACGGAATAAATGACTGCTCATATTCCAGCATACGGCACTTGCATTGAACAAGAGTGAATGCTTTGTCCATGTTTTTTTTTTGTATTAACGTTGTTGTAATGTATTGGGAAGCCAGAATGTGCATCCATCAACAGAAACATGCATTAGCCGAACCCTGTTTGTTTTACGTGTTGTTTATAACAAACCATATTACAGATGTGTTGTCAGAATTAAGTTGAAGCTGTTGCTACACTGAAGCTATTGCAGGGTACTCTAATAGAGCTTATTGAAGTTGTCATTAATGCTGGTGTTGTCTGCTGTCTTGTGCCTCTCAGCTCCAGTCAGTCAGCCTCTTCTTACATCATCAGGAACCCTCAGCCCCGCCGCAGCAGCCAGTCCCAAACGGCCCGTGGCCACGACGAGGAGCAGGATGATATTGTTTCTGCTGACGTAGAAGAGGTGCGATGCTATATTGTTCTATCACTTGTTTTAAAGTTTGTTTGTTTTGCCTGAAGCTCTTTCTCTAAATGCTCCCTGGCTGTTCACTTGTTCAGGTAGAGGTTGTGGAGGGCGTTGCAGGTGAGGAGGATCACCATGATGACCAGGAGGAGCAGGGCGAGGAGAACGCAGAGGCCGAAGGGCAGCATGATGAGCACGATGAAGATGGTAAACACATGATCGCACAGACACTATACACTTAACAGGACTTGCGAATGAGACACAGAAATTTGTTTCATCTCATAAGGTGTTATTTACGTTCTTAGAACACATGCCAGTATGGCTGAGTGATAAATCAATATTTATCTGGAAAAATTAAAGGTCTTAAGAACAAACCACCAAAGTAAAAGTTTGGTTTAACTTGAAGAAAATGTGACAAGAATAATATGACCTTTTTTAATAGTTAAATGTAGTCCTCCTCATTTTAAAAATAATAAGGAATATTATGCAACCCAAGATATTTTTATCCATGATTTAATAATTAAGTTCTGTTTTGCAGCATCTTATTTCACAAATTAAAAAAAAAAAAAATCTGATTTTGTTTTGTAAATTGTTATATTTTCATTTGATTGCATTTTAAAAGATCGATTAATTTGTTGAATTTTTATTCATACATTTAATTAGACAATTTTTGATAATAATTTTGTGCTAAATAATAAAACACGGAATCCAGAAAAAAATAAAAGGGAAACACAGAATTTGTGGGGAAATTTTTTTTTGATTTCATGGGGACCTAAATTATTAGTTTACTATAATTAGTTTACTGTGTGGAGTTCACTTGTAAACAGACAAGTTATGTTTACATTCATTCTTCACATCTAACAAACATGTGAGATGTATTTACTTCCCATTAATGGTATGAAATGAATATCGTGATAAATATTGATATTGAATGATATGGGAAAAAATACTGTGATAATATTTTTGCCCATATTGCCCAGCCCTGCATGGCAGTGCATTTCCTGCTGCGCTATTAGGAATTTTTGTATTACAAGAAAAACACAAATGTGTTTGAAACACTGGTGCTCGTTGTCCTTTTGTCTAGAAGCCAACAGTTTCTTCTATAAATGAGGCTGAGGTCACAAATAATTGCTAATCGTTTTTCTTACAGGGAGCGACATGGAGCTGGATTTATTGGCTGCTGCTGAGACCGAGAGTGACAGTGAGAGTAACCATAGCAACCAAGATAACGCCAGTGGCCGCAGGAGCGTTGTGACCGCCGCCACCGCTGGATCTGAAGCAGGTGCTTCACTTTATCAAAATTGCAGCAATTACTGTAATTGTGGTGCTCCCTCCTATTTTGTTTTGCTCTCCACATAACCTGCTGAGTGTACAGGAAGCTATAATGGCTTCAGATAAAAACTATAAACGCATTTTGTTTTGAATTTGTCCCTGTGGCACCTGTAGAATTATATTTGGTGGGTCAACCAGTCTATTTTTCATTTTTCCTATGAAATTGAGTGTTTATCTTCTGTTGGCAGAAATGACCGATACATTAGTTAGATTAGTATAGACTAGTTGGCCTAAGTTTGACCCTGGAGCACAAAAGCAGTCATAAGTAGCACAGGTATATTTGTAGCAATAGCCAACAATACATTGTGAGTCATAATTATCGGTTTTTCTTTTATTCCAAAAATCATTAGGATATTAAGTAAAGATCATGTTCCATGAAGATATTTTATAAATTTTCTTCCGTAAATATATCAAAACTTAATTTTTGATTGGTAATATGTATTGCTAAGAACTTCATTTGGACAACTTTAAAGGCGATTTTCTCAATATTTTTATTTATTTATTTGTATTTTTTTTGCACCCTCAGATTCCAGATTTTCAAATAGTTGTATCTCGGCCAAATATTGTCCTATCCTAACAAATCAATGGAAAGCTTATTTATTCAGCTTTCAGATGATGTATAAATTTCAGTTTCGAAAAATTTACCCTTATGACTGGTTTTGTAGTCCAGGGTACTTATTTTACTTATTATGATTAATTTACCCAAAATGTATTTTTATTTTATTTTTAATTTTTATATTTATTTATTTAAATGAACGTGTACATTAATCCACATTCAAATAAATGTAAATGTACCCGAGTTATCCAAAATGCCATTTTTTGTTGGCAGATGCTTTGCCTGATGTAGAAAAACAAATGAGAAAAAACAAAAAGAAAAGGGAAAAAAATCAAACAACAATGAAGAACAAAGAGGGACAAAAATTTTTAATTCCTATACCTGGAGTGTCATCAAATAGAATTGCAAATAATTCATTTTCAAACATTTTTGTAACACCTCACATTTGCTGTAGGTCAAACGAACAGGTAGCCCCTCCCAAAACTCCCGCCATTGGTTGAGCACATGTGTCACTCATAGGGTTGCAAAGGGGTGGAAAATTTCCGATAAATTTCCGGAAACTTTCCAAAAATCCCTGGCATATTCCAAAAAATCCTGGAAAGTTCCCAAAATTTCTGAAATGTTTCCGAAATTTACTGGAAATTTTCCACCTTTTTGCAACCCTAGTCACTCAAACCAACTGTGTTGTAATTCTGTTTGACGCCACTATGGTGCAGAAAAACAAACTCTTCACTTTTAAACTATAACGTAAAAAATAAATTGTGTGTGCGTTTGATAATTGTGATGCCGGCTTCAGCATAACCTTCCACTCTGTTTTTTTCCTGAAGGTGCCAGCAGCGTTCCTGCTTTCTTCTCCGAGGACGACTCCCAGTCGAATGACTCCAGTGACTCGGACAGCAGCAGCAGTCAGAGTGATGATGTGGATCAGGAGACTTTCCTGTTGGACGAGCCTCTAGAGAGAACCACGGGCTCAGCGCATGCTAACAGTGCGGCCCAGGCGCCGCGGTCCATGCAGTGGGCTGTTCGCACGACACCCAGCCAGCGCTCCGCCGGCGGCGCCCCGTCCAGCTCATCCACACCTGCTGGTCAGTATCTCACACCACCTGTCCAAAAAAAAAAATCACCCAGTTTTTGGGAAAACAAGTCACTCCTGACGTCACATCTAGGGCTGGGTATCGATTCAGATGTCCTGATTCGATTTCGATTCGCAAGCTCGATTCGATTCCCGATTTTTTTGATTACATTCAGTGAATATAGTTTTAATACAAATGCTATTGATATACAACAATAGGGCCCTGTAAAATGCTTTTCTTATTTTTTTGGTTATCAGATGAAGGCATGAAACATTAATTTAATTTATCCTAATCAAGTGAAACCTAAACCCTTTTATTTTTTGGCAAACAATGTGCTGCACAACAGATGTTTACTGCTAAAATTAAAGTTATAGTAGTAGTAGTAGTAGCATTGTTGTCACATTGAGTCTTAAGACTGCTAAATAGTAATATATATTTCTGAAGAGCTTGCAGCTGCTGTGTATGTGATATCATATCATAATATGACGGTAGTTTTCTCAAATTAAACGGTGTAAGGGAAACAGGTCAATTTAGCTCAAAGGGAATCATTTACTAAGACATTTAAACTAGTCTAACACATAAACACACACATTCACACAAGTTGCAGGAAGAGAGAAAGTGAGGAAAGAATGAGTTTAAGAGAATGAAAATGTGAAATCCCAAGTTTATAGCAATATGTGCAATTGCATAGACCTGAACAACCATCAATCCCTTAATTAACCCTCGCCTTGAGTTCCTTGGCTGGAAGTTCAGTAGTCGTTGAAGTGACGTCTTGGGAAGCCAGTGGTTGGGCGTTGGCTGAAGATGCGGAGTTGTGGGCTGGTTGAAGTTTTGAGGTGGTCACAGACTCGAGGTGAACTCGGAGACACGGCCACCTTATGTGTGATGTCAAATACTTCCGCAGATTTGTAGTATTACTATAGCATTTCACCTGAGCATGGCATATCACGCATATTGCTTTGTTCTTGGTTCTTGTCAACACTATCACCGCTATGATAAGCACTGAATTGAATGACAGGCTTTCTGTTGTAACATCGCGCAAGGTAAGGTAAATAAGAAGGTGACATCTAGTGGAGAAGACAAATTATAAGATTCACATTAATCAGATCTTGTGTTAAATGTTTGCTGAAATAAATACCGGAAAAGATCGGTTCGCGGCTTTTGAGAATCGATATCGAATCGACGTCATTTAAAAAAACAATTAATACAAAAATCTATTTTTTGCCCAGCCTTAGTCACACCAGCTCAAAATTGCATTGTTGAAAGAAAAAAAAACACAGATAAGTCGTTAAGCCGCGTTTTCACCGCTGGTACTTTACCCAGGAACTAGGGACTTTGGGCCGGTACTCGGTGTGTTTCCACCGCAGGAACCAGGATCTAAATAAAGTTGTGATTTCAACCACCATTTATTCGGATAATTTTCAAAATATTACTGTTGTTGTGTCATGAAATGTAGTTTTAAAAGTATTTCAGGCGTGAATGTAGTTGTTTAAAACTCAAATCTGCGGTTTATTTATGAAGACAACACCTATTTAAACATGTGTTTCGCCGATTTCGGAGACGATCAGCTCCACGCGATCAGCGGGAGCTCAGTGCTCATGTTTCCAGACTAGAGCAGCCTCGACTCGGCTAGTCCTTCTGACATTTGCCGCTGGCTCTGATGTCTCTTAAGTGGTTAAACATAAAATATAATTCGTTTTGGGTAAATCTAACAGGTAATCTCTGGTCTTTATTCAATTAATCTATTAATGTTAAAATCAAAATAAAGAGGCAATACTCTTTGATATATTATTTCGTTTTGTAATGTAGGCTATATGCCTACACATTTCCCTGAAGTACATTTCTGCGGCTATTAATATGTTTAAATGAAAACGAAAGGAGGCAGTGGTATTTGATATCATATTTCGTCTTATTTTAAATATACAGTGAGGAAAATTACAGTAGCCAAGGCGAGCTGACTGATGTTAAGTACGCTGCTGTTTGCAGAATTACCGGACTTGCATCGTCCCGTCCGCAGGAGATCACACTCCTGAGTCGAACTCGCAAAGTCCAAACTACCGAGGATACAAGTCCGAAATTTGCGTACTTTGTATTGAGAAACACGCGCAGACCTACGTCACCAGACTATTTGCCTAATCTTCATGGTACTTAAGACCGCGGTGGAAACGCAGAAAGCAACAGGTCTGGGGGAAAAAAGCACCGGGTAATTTCGGTGAAAACTCGGCTCTAGTGTACATGCCAATATTTTACGATTGCATTCAGAAATGATGTAAAATTCCGGTAAATAAAATCAAACGCTCACAAACGTTATAAACACTATGACCATGCATTTTAGTTGCCCTCACTCCACAACAAAACATTTAAATTTAATGATATTCACAAAACAAATTCATATAAAACAAACATAAATTTATAGTGGCATTCGATACAAACATTATTTATTATAAAATACACCCAACCTAAATGAATTTATTTAAAATTAAACTAAAACTGCTGGCATGTGGGAAACACTTTATACAAACAAATTACCTCTCATTCAGCATAAATCCAAATGTGTGTGCTGCTTCCACATGTTTTGCATGCTTGATGATAATTGCATTGTATAGTCGCTTTGGAATATAAATCATGTCAGAAAGATTGTTTTTGAGTTGAAGGCACATGAACGCCACCACAAAGTAGCTTTTACAAGTGGGAAACTTTCGAGTTGGCGGCGAGTCAGTGAGAAAACATGGTGGATGTAATAAATACAGCTTCTGTATTGATGGTGAATTTGATTGAATTAAATTTTTTTTTTACTATAAGTCTAGCTAAGTTGCATGTACAGAATATGACCGTTTTGTACAATTATGACAGGATATATACTGTTTTATTTATATTAGTTATTTATATTAGTAAATTGAATAAAAAAATAAAAACACACCTGATGTGCATTCATTCATATTATATTATATTGTAGAAGTAGAGTTAAAAAATCTTACTGAATTTTTTGTAGAAAAAGTACATCACCCAACATTGCTCCAACTAGGGGTGTGCGCAGTGCTCCAGACTGCGACTAAATGGTCGCATTTAGCGACCATTTTTTCTGCCGATGCGACTAATGTTTGTGAGCGGTCGCACTGGCGCGACCACCGTGTTGTCCAACTCATTAGCACTGCCATTTCTGTTACATTTGAGAAACGGCAAACGAAAGCGAAACTAAACCGCGCTACGTTTCAGCTGCGCAGCGCGGACCGTTTATCAGCTCGGACCACGACGCAAACAAACTTGTCCGAGCTCAGAACAGCTTTACTCGGGAGCCAAAGTTGATTTCGCGACTCTGTTACTGCACAGATGCAACAGTGCTGCGAGATCCAGTGAGAAGCGTTTGAATTCGCTGCACAATGATACGGTTGCTGTGTGATCTAGTGAGGATCATTCAATTTCTGCACAGAAATCTGTTATAAACAGCGCTGACATACGTCAGGAAACCAGAAGCGGTAACGCCAGAGCCGTTGAGAAACACACACTTTCTCAACGGCTCTGGGTAACGCTAACTGTAACCATGGTGTTGTGGTAGAAATATGCACTTATTATGCACTTATTAATGCAAAACAATAGTAATTTTATGATTAAATTATCTATATTTTAATACTGCCACTGCTCTCAAATGTTAGTCTGGAGCCCTGGGTGTGCGATATGACGATTTTTGATCGTGGACGATAAAAATGTCTCAATTATCTGCTTTTGAAGAAATATCGTAGTATCGTGATGCAGCGCATATTCTATCAGTTACAGTTCTGGCGCCTCCGTCTCAATATACTGTACTAGGATCAGGATTTTTGAGGCCGATCACAGAAAGCAGTATCTGCCGATACATGCCAAACCTCTTATGGCAGCATCATCAGCTTGAGATCGTTTTTTTTGAGATCGGCCTTTTTAGAGCCCGCCGATCAATCATCCCAACGTGATTATCGGCCGATAATGATCGGTAGCCGATCAATCGGAGCATGACAGTAGGAAAAAAATACTATGGAAGTCTCTGTGGACCAGCAACTGTTTGGTTTTCCACGTTCTTCAAAATAGCATTTATGTTCAGCAGAAGAAAAAAACTCATTCAGGTTTAAAACACTTTTGAGTGAGTAAATGATGGTATAAAAATAAAACACTATAACAGAATTGACAGACAGATGACACCATTTTTATTTTTGGGTGAACTATTCCTTTATTAATAAAACAACAAAACACAAAGAGAAAAATCACTCGCTACTCTTGACTGAAGAACTTTTAAAACAGTTGCTTTAATAGGAATCAGTCTATATAGCGTTTTATTTTTATATTTGTTCATTCAATTTCTTGAATGCTCCTGCTAAATACACCTATTGTACCTGAAAATAAAGCACTGTTTGTTTTATTTGTATATTATGTGTAGTTGTAATGTGTATCTTTGTTCTTATTTTTTAATAACAAAGATAAAATAATGACAAAGATTTTTAAGTTCGCCCACTTTGGCCTAAATATCTGCCATCGTTTTTTCTTTTTTTTGTATTTTTGTTACCTTGTAAGGCTTTGTCTTTATAATAGGAAAATTAGTTTGGCTGTACTGCTCAGACAACTTGCAAAATAGTAAAACCAACATGACAAAGAATCGTGATAAAATCGTGAATCGTGATATATATAAAAAAAAAATAAAAAAAACGTGATATATTTTTTTCCATATCGCCCACCCCTAGCTCCAACCAAAGTGATTAAAGAAGTCTAGTTTTCATCCTTTTGATGTTTTACAGTGTTATTTTAGTATTATGTAATATGATAAAGTATTTATTAATATTTTGAATTAGTTTGTGTATTTTCAGTTTTTATTTTTATTTTAGTAAGGTTTTTTTTTTTTTTACTTTTATTGTTTTAATATTTTTAATTTTAGTTTTTGTAATTTAGTACTTCATCTTAAATTTAAAGGGATAGTTCACTCAATTAAAATTGCCCTATTTTATTTATTTGTTCATTTTTATATTATTTTAAGAAAAGTTAGTTTTGGTTAGTTTTAGGTAGTTTTAGTTAACATTGACAATGGTGACACTGATATTTCTTTCTTTCTTTCTTTCTTTCTTTCTTTCTTTATTAATAAATTTTACAGAATTTTTTGTTGAAAAGGTACATTGCCATCTTCAAAACTCATAAATACAAACTTCCCAGGTGGACTTGAACGCACCATAATTTACAGCATGTTTCAGTTGATAAAAACAGAACTTATATTCTGGAAAATATGATAAGTAATTCATTATTAGTGGCAATAATTGTGATGTCTCCTCCAGCGAGCTCCACGGGCCTCATCTACATCGATCCTTCAAACCTGCGACGGAGCAGCGCCATCAGCACGAGTGCAGCCGCTGCCGCCGCAGCCCTGGAGGCCAGTAACTCCAGCAGCTACCTGACATCCGCCAGCAGCCTGGCTCGAGCCTACAGCATCGTCATCCGGCAGATCTCCGACCTCATGAGCCTCATACCCAAATACAACCACCTGGTCTACTCGCAGTACCCCGCTGCCGTCAAACTCACCTATCAGGACGCCGTCAATCTGCAGGTGAGCCGTTTGGTCTTTACCCAAACAGAATCAGACTGTAATAAATGCCAATTATACCATGGTCTGTCTAAATACTGGATTCTGATTGGCTGGCAGGTTTGCATTAAAACAGTTTAATGCACAGGTAGTTCCAAGTCAGTTTAATCACTGTTCCATATTAATGCGCTGCTTTAATTGATGCACACAAACACGCATACACACACACACACAGAGAGAGAGAGAGAGAGAGAGAGAGAGTCGGAGATCAATGCTGATCAATTCTGGAGCTGATGATCCCGTGCTCTGCTGCCACACTGGAGCGCTCTCGCCACCAACTGGACAGGGGTGGTAATTACAGTTATAAATTACAATAGATCACCCTCAGTGTAATGTCAAAGAGATGGACATCCTTTAGATTTTTCTAAAAAAAAATCCCGTAAATGATGGAAAATTTTCAGTTAACGTGACCTCTGGTGTCGGTTTTGCAGAACTTTGTGGAGGATAAGTTAATCCCCACCTGGAACTGGATGGTGTCCATCATGGATTCCACTGAAGCGCAGCTGCGTTACGGCTCCGCTCTGTCATCAGCCGGGGATCCTGGTCACCCGAGCCACCCACTGCACGCTTCACAGCACACAGGCCGCAGGGAGCGCATGACCGCGCGAGAGGAGGCCAGTCTCCGCACCCTTGAAGGTCGAAGGTAAGATGCCCGAGCAGTTAAAATTATTGATGAAAATTCACCCCTCCGTTTTCTAATTTCTGTGGTTCCCTCAACAAAAACCCAATAGGAATTTTCCATTGGCTGTTGGAATATTGCAGAAAATAAACTCTTTTGAGTTTGATTCTTACATGTTTTGTTCATGATAAACTTTACAAATGAACCAATTAACACATTTAATGTCCTTGACAACCTCTATAGTGCCATTTAGCCACTTAACACCCGCAGACATTAAAAAAAAAAAAGTATTCTTTTTTTTATTTTAATTTTAGTTTTATTTAGTTCTTCTTTTTAAGTTTCAGCTTTATTTGGTTTCTTTTCTTTTTATTTATTTTCACGTTTTTCTTTTTTTTTTTTTCTTTTTTTTTCTTTTTTTCAGTTTTAATTTTTGTTTGTCGTTTAGTTTTTTTATTTTAGTTTTATTTAGTTTCAGTTTTTTGTTATTCCTTTTTTATTAAAGTTTTTTTTTAGATTTCTTTTTTGTTTTGATTTAGCTTTAATTTAGTTTTTTTTATTTAGCTTTAATTTAGTTTTTTTTATTTTGCTTAACTTTATTTAGGATTTTTATTTTTGTGTGAAGTATTTTGTTGTTGAAAATAAAATGTGTAATATCTTGAGATTGTGTTCACCACAGATCTTATTTCAGGCTTTTAACCAAAAACCCATTCAAAAAACCCCAATGACTTTAGGACGATTTAACTGGAAGTGCTAAGAAGCTAACTCGTTTTCGGGTTTTGGCCTACAAAAACACGTCATTCCTGCAGCACTCTACTGTTATAAAATAATTTAATTCTCTGTGTTCCAGACGCGCTGCAACACTTTTGACGGCTCGTCAGGGGATGATGTCGGCTCGAGGAGACTTCCTGAACTACGCTCTGTCTCTGATGCGTTCCCATAATGATGAGCATTCGGACGTTCTGCCTGTGCTGGATGTGTGTTCGCTCAAACACGTGGCGTACGTCTTCCAGGCCCTCATCTACTGGATTAAAGCCATGAATCTGCAGACAACACTCGACACCACTCAGATTGACAGGAAGAGGTAAACTGCCCATATTAGCATTTAAAAACATGATTTTAGTAGTTACATTTAGTGTGGATAGTTAATGTCTTAAAGATTTTTTTTTTTAGCCTTTTTGTTTATATTTGACAGCAATATTTTAGTATATTTTAATATTTTATATATAATATTTAATATATTTTAATATTATTTAGGGATGCACTATATTATCGGACCAATAACGGAATCGGCCGATAATGGCTTTAAATGTAAATATCGGCATCGGCCCGATATGAAAAAGTATACCGATATGTCTTGCCGATAAGAGGAATACATTAACTCACATGTGCTCAGGGGGTGCTAGCCATTAGATCACGTCTGCAGTTGAATGGTGATTAGATTCACTGTTTTGGATTGCTGCATTTAAACTGAGAAAGCAGGTACGTTCGGTGTGATAGAGTAAACCGTAATAGCACGTGCAGCGGCAGCCTCCCCCGGGTCCTAAAGCCTGCGTAGTAAGGAGTTTTAATTCCGTAGGGGGCGCTGTTGGCCTACTTCTAATAAAATGAAAGCAAAATACACAAATAATATTTAGACTATGTTTCTGATTTAATAAAGCAGTAATTGATGCCATAAAATCATGAGTATGTTTTGATTTAAAGGGGTCATATGATGCTTATTTAAAGATCATTATTTTGTGTATTTGGTGTAACAGAATATGTTGACATGCTTTAATGTTCAAAAAACACATTATTTTTCAAATACTGTACATTATTGTAGGTCCTCTATGCCCCGCCTCTCTCAAACGCTCCGTTTTCTACAAAGTCCCTCCTTCCGACAAGCGCAGTCTGCTCTGATTGGCCAACTGACCCAGTGCATTGTGATTGGCCAAACACCAATATCTCTTTGGTTTTGAGACTTTAGTCTTTGCAACTTCAGGGATCTTATCTATGCACAATCAGCTTGTAACACTCCAAAGAGAAAGGAAAACTTGAAATCGCATCATATGACCCCTTTAAAGGTCAGAAGCTATAGCTTACATGAACCAAAAAAATCACAAACATGACACTTAAATTAAATAATTTTATATATACTGATTTATTCATTAATATGTAATGTTATTTTTTTAAACAAATTCTAAAAGCTCTAAAAGATTTTCAGAATTTTTCTGAATTTTGTTTTGAACTCTTTTGCTTTAGACCATCTACAAATGTTAAGAGCGTTGCGTTAGCAGTGCAAATGGTCGTGGGTTCGATTCCCAGGGAACACACGTACTGGTAAAAAATGAATGCACTTTAAGTCGCTTTGGATAAAAGCGTCTGCTAAATGCATAAATTAATTAAATTAATCAATGTACTGTCATTATAAAATAACTTTATTATTGTTTATTTAATTCTAACAAATAAGTTCTTGATTAAAACTAACCAAAATTAAAAATAATTATATATCGGCATCGGCTATCGGCCAAAATGAGTTGAAAATTATCGGCATATCGGATATCGGCAAAAATCCAATATCGTGCATCCCAAATATTATTGTATTTTAAATATTTTGAATTTGCTTTTATTTTAAGAATTTTTGTTTGTTTTATTTGTTTTGTGCTTTTGACATTTAAAAAAAAAAAGTGTTTCTCTAGCTTTGATTTTTTTTTTTTTTCCGTTTTAGTAATTTTAGTAGTATTTTTTTCATTGAATATTTTTTTTCTATATATTTCTATATAATATATTTTCTATTTTATTTCAGCTTTTTCAATTAATGAAAAGCTTTGTTAACAATGGAAAAAAATTATATTTGAGAGAGAATCTTTTTTTTCTTTGAACTGGTTTAAAAGAGTGAACTGGTTTACAATGGTCGACTTGTTGTTCAAAAACTGACTAGTAAAATTAACTTCTGAAAACCTAATAGTTGTCATAGTTAGCATCCTGAAAACTTTTCAGTACTAAAACAGTGATTTATCAACACTAACCACACCCACTTCTCGTTGATCAATTTTGTTGCCAACAAAGTTATCCAGTTATCCAGTTTTTTTTAAATTTATTTTATTATTATTTTTAAACTCATTTTATTGTTGTCTTATTTTTTTATTTTATTTATTTATTTTTTATTTATTTTATTGCAGGGTAACTATAGGTTATAAAACATTTTCATTACTTAAAAAATATACGTTAAAAAATAGGGTATAAACATTTTTCGGCTAGTTGCAGAGGCAGCATTTCACATTAAAATTAAAAAACTTAATGCACTAAAATAAACTAAAGCTGTAATAAAAATTAATAAAAACTATATAGACATATAAAAAAAGACTAGTACTAAAAATGACAACAAATTTACTAAGACTAGATCAAATTTAAATGGAAACCCATAATATAAAAATACAAACTGGTTCAAAAACAATAAAAACTGAGTATCTCAGTGATACTAAAATAGCACTTATTGCCCAGAGCTGTCTTTTTATCTCTTGTGAGATTTCTAAATACTTTTTTCATCTTATTTCAGGAATCGTGAGCTGCTGGAGCTCGGCCTGGACAATGAGGACTCTGAGCACGAGAACGATGAGGACACCAATCAGAGTGAGTATTTTTATTTGTTTTAAGAGTCGTTTCAGTTGCACACTGTGCACGAGCCTCACAAGCTGAAGTGAAACTCACAGGTTCAGATGGTGGCAGCATGGCTCTGGTGTCTGGAGTTTGCAGAGCTGCTTTCCTGCTGTCCAATCAAAACGCTTTGTTACTCTGGACTCCACAGGCTCCACCCTGCAGGACAAGGACGAAGAGTCGGTCCCTGCTGAGACTGGACAACACCATCCGTTTTTCCGCCGCTCTGACTCCATGACTTTCCTGGGATGCATCCCTCCCAACCCTTTCGATGTGCCCCTCGCTGAGGCCATTCCTCTGGCTGACCAGCCGCATCTCCTGCAGGTCAGAGATGCCCTTTACCTGCGCTGTCATGTCCTCTATTAGAGGTTATTCCAGATGGTTGAATCTCTTTAACACTGCTGTTTTTCTTCATCTCACAGCCCAATGCCAGAAAAGAGGACTTGTTTGGACGACCAAGTCAGGGTCTGTATTCGTCTTCGTACATGGCCAGTAAAGGCCTGACGGATCTGACTGTGGACATGAATTGCTTGCAGGTTAACATGGCTTACATATTTTTGCTTACAATACTGATAATTGGTGCCTTTTTCATTTTTAACCCTCTGGCCCTCTTCGGTCATTTTTAACTGAAAAATGTTATATTTTGAATGTTTTAAAATCTTAGCTTCATCGGAATGAGATGACGCTTAGTGACTTTTGTCACATTAGCAATATGAACACACAAAAAAAATCATGGACATGATTCGGATATGTTAAAGGGTCAAAAAAAAAAAAATCACACTTGACTTCTTCGCGGTAAAAGATGACCGACATAGAAAATGAATGGGAAATACGAAAAAATCTTTTGGTGGTACAAACTACAAATCAGCCACTGGTCAGAAAAAAAGTGTGCAGCAATCAAGGGGTGACTCTCTAGAATATCAGGAGTGCAAAATAGACACCAATCAATAAATGGAAAAAATACAAAAGGGGCTCTCTCTCTCACACACACAACACACACACAGAAATGAACTGGTAAGACTGCAACAGAGCACATTGTGAGAATATGTGAAATAAAATCAATAAATGGAAAAACAACAACAAAAGGCTCTCTCTCACACACACACAGACACACACAAATGAGCTGGTAAGACTGCATCAGAGTAAGACAGCTTTTATTGAAATAAAATCAATAAATCATAAATCAAAAAATACAAAAGAGATTCTCATTCTCTCTCTCTTACACACACACACACACACATAGAGACAGACACACACAAATACACACACTCTCCAGACCAATCACAATATATGTTTATAAAACAATCACCTTTCCCCCTGCCTGCTGCCACGGCTACTATAAGATCAAAGGATCAAATATTCTCCCCCAGTAACCACCAGGCCAATCAGAGAATCTGTTTCATAGCACCAAAAACAGTGAAGACCTGGGCACAGTTCATTCTTCACCAAAATGTCAAGAAGATACACTGCTCAAGAGGCCCTGGAACACTTGCTTCAGTCAAGTGAAAATGAAGAAAATAGTGAACCAGATGACCCTTCTGATGCAGAGGAAGACTTTACAGAGGCTGACCCTGGTTTTGAGATCACAGAGGAGCAGCATTCAGATGAGGATTCAGAGGAGATCATCAGAAAGACACCTGGTCCCACAAGGTATGCCTGTTCAAGAGCTGAAGACATAAAATCAACATTTGAGTTATATTTTCCGATTTCAATTCAGAACATTCTAGTTAGAATGACAAATTTAGAGGGGCGTCGAGTGTTTGGTGATCAGTGGACTGACATTGACTGGATTGCAATGGAAGCTTTTATTGGTCTTCTCATCCTTGCCGGAGTTTTTAAATCCCACGGTGAGGCAACACGAAGCCTGTGGCATGGTGAGATGCTTTTATTGGTCTTCTCATCCTTGCCGGAGTTTTTAAATCCCACGGTGAGGCAACACGAAGCCTGTGGCATGGTGAGATGGGGAGAGTGATTTTTCGGGCTACCATGCCACTGAAAGATTTTGAGAGATTGTCAAGTGTGCTCCGTTTTGATGACAAATCAACAAGAGCTGCAAGAAGAGAAACAGACAAGCTGGCACCCATCTGTGAACTGTGGGGAAAAATGGGTAGAAAGGCTTCCCATGATGTATAATCCTGGCTTGAATGTAACTAGATGAATGCTTGCTTGGGTTCAGGGGCCGCTGCCCGTTCAAGCAGTATATGCCGAGCAAACCAGCTAAATACGGTCTCAAAATTTGGGTAGCCTGTGATGCCAAAAGCAGCTACAGCTACAATATGCAGGTGTACACTGGCAAACCTGCAGGAGCACAACACGAGCGATACCTGGGCAAACGTGTGGTGCTTGAAATGCTAAGTGATCTTGAGGGGCACATTGTCACGTGTGACAATTTTTTCACCTCCTATGGTCTTGGCACAGAGCTCTTACAGAGAAAAATAAGGATGATAGGAACTGTGAGAAAAAACAAGCCGGAGCTCCCAAGTGCTTTGGTCACAAGAAGAAACGGGACTAGTTTTTCATCTTTGTTTGCATTCACCGAGACACAAACCATCGTGTCCTACTGCCCAAAAAAGAACAAGAACGTGATTCTTATGAGCACCGCACACAAGGATGCAGCAGTAAGTGAACGTGAGGACAGAAAGCTGAAAATGATTTTGGACTACAACACTACCAAAGGTGGAGTGGACAATCTGGACAAGAGGTTACGCATTTAGTTTTAATTTTATTTTCATTTCAGTTTTATCTTATTCATTTTTAATTAATTTTTTGTTTTTATTCTTTTTTTAAAAAAATTTTTTTAAATTAATTTAGTTTAGTTTATTTAGTTTTATTTTAAATAAAATTAGTTACTTTTATTTTATTTTAAATAAATCTTTATATAAAATTAAGTTCTCAGTGCAGTCAGAAATGCTTCTTTGGGCATAATTAATTTTTTGTTTTTATTCTTTTTAAAAAAAAAATTTTTTTTATTAATTTAGTTTAGTTTATTTAGTTTTATTTTAAATAAAATTAGTTACTTTTATTTTATTTTAAATAAATCTTTATATAAAATTAAGTTCTCAGTGCAGTCAGAAATGCTTCTTTGGGCAGTTCTCAACAACTGAGCAATAAAACAATATTTTTTACAATATTTTACTGCGGGTAATTCTCATCCCAGATTCTGCCCACAAAGATGTCGTATTCGGCGAACATGAAGAACGTGATGAGTATGGAGTCTCGGCAGAGGGGTGGCGAGGGGCAGCCGGCTGCGCAGCAGGATATGGATGCATCCAAACCAGGCCCTTCGCCTCACGATCTGGCGGCCCAGTTAAAGAGCAGCCTTCTCGCAGAGATTGGTTTGACAGAGAGCGACGGCCCGCCGCTTCCCACATTTATGTAAGTCAACACACTCACAGATTCAATAAAACAGCTGCGAATGACTTCGTTGGTGACATTTCTTGTTCGTGTCCTCCAGTCCACACTGTAGCTTTATGGGGATGGTGATCTCTCACGACATGCTGCTGGGCCGCTGGCGGCTTTCTCTGGAGCTGTTCGGCCGTGTCTTCATGGAGGACGTGGGAGCAGAACCGGGATCTGTGAGTACAGCTCATTTTTGCAGTTTCTTTTGAGAGTAAGCACTTTATCTGCATTTTATTTCCAGTGATAAATAGGGATCGTAGATGATCCGTACGGACCAGGCCCCACAGTTCGACACGCATGTGATTCACAGATTAACTCTTAAGTTTAACCATCATAGAGTGAAAGGTTATCATTTGCACGTGTTTTGTCTTGCCAATTTACACATTTAAGCAATTTCAGACCATTGAAAGAGAAGTCGAATCGGACTTGCTTGCAAGTATTCTGGTAAACACAGTTGGTAATGTCTTAAGTGAACGTAAACAGCTGAGAAAGAAGCCGGTTGTGTGTCAGTATTAGGTCCGTGCATTTGGTCTTAAAGAGACAGCAGCCTATAAACACCTGCTTCTGTCTGCTAATCAAACACCACCGCTTTAACAAAGATTAATCTGTATTAAGCATTGTGTTGTTTTACACTTATTACATTTCTGCACCTGAATACTACCGTTACTGACTTCATTTGTAACTTTGTTGTATTCATCCATGCTTGTAATTTGTGTAATTGTTCTTGTTTTATTACTGACTTTATTAGTTAAGCTAATAGTTTCTGCTGGGTATAGAAGTACTTAAAGTAAGCTTTTATTAATATATGAAAAGCAAACTTTTTTTATTTCATTATTTTTTTGCTGATCCGAAAAATGATCTGATCCATGACTCTACTCTGAACGGTGCAGATCCTGACTGAACTGGGTGGTTTCGAGGTGAAGGAGTCCAAGTTCCGGCGTGAGATGGAGAAGCTGAGGAACCTGCAGTCACGTGATCTGGCCCTGGAGGTGGACCGTGATCGAGAGCAGCTCATCCAGCAGACAATGCGCCAGATCAACGCTCACTTCGGCCGCCGCTGCACCACTACACCTATGGCGGTGCACCGCGTGAAAGTGACTTTCAAGGATGAACCTGGAGAGGGCAGCGGAGTGGCGCGGAGCTTTTACACGGCTATCGCACAGGCCTTCCTCTCCAACGACAAGCTGCCCAATCTGGACTGCGTACAGAGTGTTAGCAAGGGAATGCAGGCTAGCAGTATGTGACCATTTATTTTTATTTTTAGCCCTTTTAGCTGGAGTTTAAAAAAAAAAAATTATCATAATTTGATGTTTTTTCATCTTCTAAAAATTCTAATTCCTAAATAGTTTTTATATTTTTCCAGGATAATTTTTGTCTGAAAGTGATGCTCATGTTTTCTGTGTCTTTGCAGATCTTATGCAGCGGCTGAGGAACCGAGACCGTGAGCGTGAGAGGAGGAGCGGAGGACTGAGAGCTGCATCCAGACGAGACCGTGACAGGTGGCTTTTTTAAACACCATTGTTTGAAATTATTATTTAATAATTATTTAAAATGTATGAATCTATCATAAGCTATAATATATAATAATATATATATGATATATTCATGTATTATCGGGCAAAATATATATATTTTTAAAAATATATATTTTTTAAAATGGCATATTTAAAAAAAAAAATGGCAAAAATATATTGCTAATATAGATTTTAAAATACATTTACTTTATTATTTAGCGTTTCCCTCATTATTTTAATGCGCTGCTTTTGCAAGCTTCCGTGAAAACGTTTCAGCTTTTATTTTCCTTTTTCGCCCTGAAGCAGATATCACAGGTTTATCAAGTTCGTCGAAATTATCCATCCTCAATCACTTTTTGTCAGCTTTGACTAAACTCCTCTCAGCTAGCACGTAAAGCGGTGGAAACGCAAATCGTGCCGAGCCGAGTCATACCACGCAGTGGAAAAGCGGCAAAAGTGAAAGTAGCCTTGTCACCTGACCTGAATACAGCACGCTGATTCGCTAAAATTGACTTATCGGCTTCTGTTCAAAAACAACAAGGGCGCTTGTCGGCTTCTGCAGTAAAACGTGAACTCACGTAATATTATATTATATTTATATAATGTATAATAATTATTTATTTATTTTTTGCAGGGATTCGAGGAGACAGCTGTCGATCGACACACGGCCGTTCAGACCTGCATCAGAAGGGAACCCGAGTGATGAACCGGAGCCGCTGCCGGCTCACAGACAAGCTCTAGGAGAGAGACTTTACCCGCGAGTGCACGCCATGCAGCCGGTACAGACCAGCACAGCCATCAGCGCTCATATCACAGGAACACATGTGGCTTTGAGAAGCTGATTTAGTGTGTGATGTGTGCTTTTCTCTACAGGCATTTGCCAGTAAAATCACAGGCATGCTGCTGGAGCTCTCTCCCGCTCAGCTGCTGCTGCTCCTGGCCAGTGAGGACTCGCTCAGAGCCCGTGTGGAAGAGGCCATGGAGCTCCTCATAACTCACGGAAGGTGAATCATCTCACCACACCTCTCAAGAACATGTCACATATACAAATACGAATTCCTCGCTATGATGAATATTGGAGCATCTAAATAAAAAAAAAAAAAGGACATGCATTTAATTCATAATGTAAATAATTGCATTAAGAATTACATAAATAACTGCCTACATAATTATGAAATTACTATTATAGTATTCCATAATTATGTACATGCATATCTACCATTTAAGTTCTTACTAATTAGTGAATATAGTGTTATGGTAATAGTGTCAAGTAAAATTAAACATTAAATGTATTTAATAATTAAATACTATAATAATTACATAAATGTATTTTATGTAATTATAGTAGTTAATAATTTGTGTTTTTTTAACATTATAATATTTAATCATTATTAAATAGGATATTTATAATTAAAATTACATAATTATTGAATGTTATTAAATGTACTAATTGTTTACATTATTAAATTTTAATAAAATAAAATACTTTGTTAAATGTTTTTAATAGTTAAATACTATAATTACATAAACTACATTTAATTATGTGCATAATTATTTAGTTTATTATTATTATTATAGTATTTAATAATTATTATATACATTTAACATATTTAATTGCCAAACAGTTTAATTATAATTAATATTACATAATTATTAAATGCTATTAAATGTAAACTAATTAAATTATTTTTATTGTTGTTGTTTGAAACATTTATTACATTTATGCACTTATTGTTTAGCATTTGATTTTATGGTGACCTGGGTATTTTTGTGAAATAAACCCAGTCTCTTTGCTGATAGTGGAGTATTTAATGAGCTTCTCTCTCTTCCGCAGGGAAAATGGCGCTGACAGTATACTGGACCTTGGCCTCCTCGACACTCCTGAGAAAGCACAGGTATGTTGCGTCTTAAAACCCCAAACACTCTTCTCTGACTCTTCTCCTTTGCATCAGGTTAGATTTTAGCATAGAACTCTCTTCTTATCATTTTGGGCTGTATTGGGTTTTGGAGTTGCTCTGTGTGGTTTTTCGGACTTTCCTAATGTTACATCTGTGATCTGATTTTAATTGTAATTTCCATATTCCACCAGCAGGAGAACCGAAAGAGGCACGGTTCGACCCGCAGTGTGGTTGACATGGAGCTGGACGACCCAGAGGATGGAGACGATAACGCTCCTCTGTTCTACCAACCCGGCAAGAGGGGTTTTTACTCGCCCCGTCCAGGCAAGAACACAGAGGCCAGGCTCAACTGCTTCCGTAACATCGGCAGGTGCGAGACACACGTTCACCCGAGCATCTGTGTGAGACTGAACCACGATATGAACTTCTAACAATAAACCTGATTCTTCTGCCTCCAGGATACTTGGCTTATGTCTGTTGCAGAATGAACTTTGCCCCATCACACTCAACAGACACGTCATCAAGGTGTTGCTCGGCAGGAAGGTGAATGTCTAAATATTAATACATTTCTAATAGTGACAGGTTTAACCTCATACCACTGCAGGATATTACTGAGGTTGGGCCTTATAAAATTCGTTTTATTTTTTCCCCAATTCTGTTATAATTTTTCTGGGTTCAATTTTTTTACATTTGTTGTTTTCTGGATTTCGTTTTAATGGTTAAATAAAGTTTTAGTAAAAGCATGTCTAATTAATTCAACTCATGAAACTTTTAATAAATTGTTAAATTATGTATTACAATTAATTAGACATGCTTTTTGATTACTAACATTTAATTAAATCAATAAATCGGAAAACAGAATTTGAACAAAAATATAAATTTAGGAAAAATAAAACTGATTTCACATGGCTCTAAAAAGGTAATTTTTGTTATGCAATTCAACATCAATTTATTAGAAGATTTAACAAAAATAACCTTTTTATGGCCTGTGAATTTTGTTTTCTGGATTCTGTTTTACTGGTTAAATTAAATTTTAATAATAAAAAAGCATGTCTAATTAATTGAACTCGTGAAACTTAAACTAAATTAATTTGACATGCTTTTTGATTACTAACATTTAATTTAACCATTAAAACTGAAAACAGAATTTGAAAAAAATAAAACAAAATTTAGGGGAAAAATAAAACCAATTTCACAGGGCCCAGGTCATTTTTGTTATGCAGTTTAATGAATTTTTTAAATTTAAATTAACCAAAAATACTTTTTTAACGGCCCTATGAAATCTGTTAATTATTATTATTTTTTTAATTTAAGTATTTTTTTCCCCCCAAATTCATTTTTTGTTGTTTTTCACAGCTGTTTATTCAAATTTTAAGTTTCATGATTTCAATTAATCAGACAGAATAAAACGAATGTAACAGGTCCCTGAAAAGGTAATTTTTGTTTAACAATTTATCAAGTTTAACTAAATTATTTTTTTAGGGCCATATGAATCCCCCCCCCTTTTTAATTTTTATGTATTGCACTATATTGGTATTATTAAATATTAATAATAAAAAGCATATCTAATCAATTGCATTTCTAAAACGTTAACAATTGATGTTTTGAAATGTTTAGTTTTTTGTCTGCTTTATGAATTTATAATTTAATACTAATCTATTGTCCAAAATTGTGGTAATCAAATACAAATTATTTTATTAAATGTAACCGTTTCTTTTTTTCCCCCTTTAAAATCTATGTACTTGTACTGCAAGTTTTATTTGTATTGACTGGATACTGTGTTCTCCATCACAGAAATCATACTGAGGTTTGCGTTCTCTTGTGCTGCAGGTGAACTGGCACGACTTTGCGTTCTTCGACCCGGTGATGTACGAGAGTTTGCGGCAGCTGATTCGTCACTCTCAAACCGAGGAGGCGGAGGCCGTGTTTGCAGCGATGGACCTTGCCTTCGCTATCGACCTCTGCAAGGAGGAAGGATCTGGACAGGTAACGGCTGCATTCTCCCTTTGCGTCAGCATTAGAGCGGAGTCTGTGCACATGACTGAAGGTTTCCTGCTGCATCTGCAGGTGGAGCTCCTGGTTGGCGGGGTCAACATGCCTGTGACGCCTCTGAACGTGTACGAGTACGTGAGGAGATACGCGGAGCACCGGATGCTGGTGGTGGCAGAACAGCCTCTGCATGTGAGTGCACTACGCTCCTGCTTTTTAGATCTCCAAGAGCCAGAAATGTGACCATCTGGAACATTAATCTGGACTAGGCTTGCTGCGATAGCCGGTGTTTACTAGGGCTGGAACCAGAGGTCGCGTTAACTGAAAATTTCCCATCATTTACGGAAATTATTATTATTTTTTTTTATTTAGCAGTGACGGAAAAATCTGAAGGACGTCTGTCATTTTGACATTACACTGAGGGTGATCTATTGTAATTTGTAACTGTAATTCCCACCCCTGTCCAGTTGGTGGCGAGAGCGCTCCAGTGTGGCAGTGATCATCAGCTCCAGAACAAAAATAAAACTGTCACCAGTCTTTTGCTATGCCTTTGATTATGTGTATGCGAGTACCCACTAGTAGTAAAGCAAAAGCACTTCGCTTGATCTGAGGTGTCTACAGTGATCTATCACGCCACGTTAAAGGGTTAGTTCACCCTAAAATATAAATTAGCCTGTGTTTTACTCACCCTCGAGGCATCCTAGGTGTATATGACTTTAATCTTTCAGACGAATCCAATCGGCGTTATATTAAAAATTGTCTCGGCTATTCCAAGCGTTATTGCAGTTGGTGGGTGTTTCTATTTAACAGTCCAAAACACGTCAAATAAAGTGCGCGCATCCAGAATAAAACCTGCCTCACACGGCTCCGGGGCATGAATGAAGGTCTCCTGTAGCGAATCCATGCGTTTTTTCTGAGAAAAATATCCATATTTCAGACGTAATAAACACTTCTCCCTCTTTCATCTAACTGTCATACGCTAAAGCCATCACACGTCGATTAACCAGTGGGAAAATTTCCTCACCGTCACAACCCTATTTTGGATCTTATTTTGCAGCTTGCATTTTTTTGCATGCTCATTTACAGTTGTGCATTTGGCAGATGCTTTTATCCAGTGTGTCTTCCATTGCATTCAAGCTAAACAGTTTTTCAGTGCATGCACTCCCTGAGAATTGAACCCATCTTTTACTGTTCGAGGAAGGATTTAAGAACATGTTCTCTCATCTGTGCCATTGCTTTTTAAAATTCTGCCAGAAATAAGGAGAAACATGCAGAAGTGTAAGTGAGGATGTTTTTTTGCAGGCCATGCGGAAGGGTCTTCTGGATGTGCTTCCAAAGAACGCTCTGGAGGACCTGACGGCTGAGGACTTCAGACTGCTGGTCAACGGCTGTGGAGAAGTCAACGTCCAGATGCTCATTAGTTTCACCTCTTTCAATGATGAGTCAGGTACATTTTTGGATCTCCAAGATGCTTGAAACTGATACATCTTTGCCCTTTTTCATAAGAACTTGAATTCAGAATGATTTGAAAATGTTACAGTTTGGAATCTTTGTTCCATTTGTAACAATTAGAACGGTTGAATTTTTTAAAATTCCAATTAGTCACAATAGTATTTCTTTGTAAGACTTCAAGCATTTCCATCCTTGTATTTTTATGCACAATTTGGGCCAAGATAAATCTTACATAAATCTTACATAATCTTACACAATCTTACATCAAATCTTACACAGTTTCTGCAGGTCTTATAAATTAAGGTCTTAACTCAGCAGAAAGTCTTAAATTCATTAAGGCTTGATATTAAATGTTGCATGCACTGCAAAAAATTTATATAATTATTTTTGTGAATGTTATTATTGTTTTTTGTTTTCCAATACAAATATCTAAAAATTCTTAAATCGAGATTTACTTTAAATGCAAAATGAAGATATCAAGTCCTGCTTTCTGAGAAATTTAAAACTAAAATCACTAAACATTTTGTTACTAGAAAAACGGAAATAAAATTAAAACATTAAAAAACAAACAAAAAAAATTACTTCAGCTTGTTGCCAAGGCGATATGTCTAATTTATTTAGTTTAACTTGAAGTACTGAAATAAATGTCTTAAACATAAAATGAATAAAAACTATATAGACATAATAAAAGCTATAATTAATAAAAATGACAAAAGCACACAACAAAATTGCTAAAACTAACGAAAATAGAAAATACACACAAAAAAAAAAACTATAATACTAGTATCTCACAGGGTGTCCGCGGGTCCTTAAAAAGTCTTAAAATGTCTTAAATAACGTGTTCCTAATATAAGGCCTTAAGTCTTAAAATGTCTTAAATTCGGATTCGATGGGTCTTAATTATTTTTGGTCTCATTACCGCTAAAATATCTTAAGTCTGACGGACCTAATGACTGTTTACAATCATTGGACAGACCGAAGATTTTTTCTTCCCGTGGTAAGTTACTGCGTCATCAGAGAGAATTGCAGTAAGTTAGCAGAATACAAGCTCGCGCTGAGGCTCACTCTGTTTGTCTCGAGACTTCAGAACAAATGAGCGTGACAGCACACATAAACTCAGAAGAAACACACTGAGGTAAAAATTCAAAATGTTTAGTTTATTCATAACATGATATACTGTAGTTAAATAACACCATGACAAGTGAGCTATTTTGCTCAATATTCTCACGA